AGCTGGAACTGGACTACTCCTGGCTTGAATGAGTCTACCCCTAGCTGGAACTGGACTACTCCTGGAACACCAAGCTGGAACTGGACTACTCCTGGAACACCAAGCTGGAACTGGACTACTCCTGGCCTGAATGAGTCTACCCCTAGCTGGAACTGGACTACTCCCGGAACACCAAGCTGGAACTGGACTACTCCTGGCTTGAATGAGTCTACCCCTAGCTGGAACTGGACTACTCCCGGAACACCTAGCTGGAACTTGACCACTCCTGGCTTGAATGCGTCTACCCCTAGCTGGAACTTGACGACTACAGAGACACCCGCCACAACCACTCTAAGCTGGTGGGACAAACTGATGAATGACCTCGGGCTCTAAAGTGTGGCGGTAGAGGGCATTGCTGTGGGGCAGCACCTCTAAATTAGATATTAAGCAAACTAAATAATAAATTGATCAGCATTGAAATGTGTTTACTTGATAAGACTTGCCAGACTTGTAATTTGGTCCGCACAGGGCAATGAATGTCCAGTAATGTGATAAGCCAGCCAGAGAAAAAGCGAACGAAAAAAAGTGTTTATGGCAGTAAAAGTCCGCAAATAGGACACGCCCACATAGCTGCGGCTCGACTGAGCCGCCGTCTGATTAAGATTTATTAGCCAAACCGGGGGGCCACGTGTCGCAGATGGCAGCACAAAATGATGGATCTGAGCGAAGCGTCAGCAAAATATTGCACAAGGACAGGGGCAAACACGGAATCACGGGGGTGAGGAGCAATATGAAGCTGTGTCAATAAGTGCGGCAGAAAAAAAAAACCAAAAGTGAGAGAGAACTGGCAATAATTAGTTACACTCGGCGTGGCTAAATAATGAGCTGGCTGTCAGCATCTTGTGGTGCAGGTCAGATATCTGGCTAAATGGACGAAGATCCACATAAAAGGCAAATCAAATAATCATAGTTAAAGCCAAAAGTTAAGCTTGGAGCTGAAGTTATGCCAAAAGTTTAATAATTGCGTTGAGCGTTCAATGTTAGGACGAGCATATTATTCAACGCACTCTGACAGTTCTGTCAGGTCGAGAATTTGCATAGCCATTGAGCGCAGTGCAGTGTATATAGCACGTGTGGTTGCATGTGGGTATGAGTGTGTGTGTGTGTGTGTGTGTGTGTGTGTGGGAGCGTGTGTATGTGCTGTGCATACAAAGGGAATCCTCACCTAAACAATGAGAGTATGCGCAAAACTTTTAACCTCAGCGTCAGTAGATAAATCACGTTGGATCATCACCCTCAGCATTCATTGTCCATACCGCAGCGCCATTATGTGACCTACTATGTCTGTGTGTCTGTGTGTGAGTGTAGGTGTGCACACACGGACACACACTGCAGGTGCTGCACATTCAATGGCGATTTGCGGCCTGGTCTGGTCTGGTGTTAAACCTGCTGCCATTGCCAGCGCCAACGCCACTGACCAGAGTCCAGAAACCAAAGCCCCGAGGCTGGCTGCCCTTGCCTTGGCCAGAACGATAAATTACCGCAGAAGCTGTGTAAATACTTCTCTGCTAACTCTTCTCGCTCTCTCCACCCCCTTACTATGTCGTTGTCGTTGTTGTTGTTGTTTTTTTTTTCAGTAATTGACTGACTTTCTGATTCGTGATCCAAGCTGAAAAAGTTTTAATGAAAATGCACAAATTCAAGTGATCAATTAACATTAATTGCAGAAGGCAAAGTTCATAAAAATTTCATCCGCCAATCACGAGAAAAGAGCATTCGATAAATGAGCCAAAAACAAAGCGAAACAGTGATTAGATAAGGCGCTGTACGAGTTAACTTAGCATGAGTAAAAAAAGAACAAACATAAAAAGAAATAGCAAAGTTAGACATAAGGAATATGTACTATGAAATACCCTGCACAAATTATGCAAAATAATATATAAGAAACGTTATTGTCTTCAAATGAAGAAATTTAGGTTGGCATTATAAATATTAAATTCAATCTTTCTATCTCTATAAGACATTCGTCATTTCATTTATAAATTTTATAAAAATATAAAAGTTGTATGTATTCTCTTAAAATATATTTTTTTGGCATTTACAATAGTATCTAAGCTTCAAGTATTATTTTAATATTCGTAAAATGCCTAATACAGTTTTTTAAGGTATTTTTAGTAAATCCTAACAGACTAAGAAAATTAATAAAAATTAGTAATTTATATATATTTTTCTACAAATTTTCTAAAAACATTTATATTATAATTCCTAAACTAAACAATTTTTTGGCTGTATATAATATCAGTCCAACTCGATTATAGATCATCTCTAAGCTCTCTCATAACAAGTTCTTGGCTTTCAAAATCCCCAAGAAATAACCAGATTAAAACTCCACGATTAACTGCTTAGCAAAGGGGCTTGTTTTTATAGATTAAGCTCATAAAGGCAAACTTTGACTGGGTTAAACCCTTTTTTTTCGTTTTGCAAATGTTTGGAGGCCTTGTAATTTTGGAAATCAAAAACTTTTTGAATATCTTGCTCAACATAAACGTAAACTTTAATGATATGAACGGTCGACGGACAACGGACAGACAACCACGCCTCCCCCTAAAACGACAATTCAGAATTTTTAAATAGGAGTCTGGCGCGCACAAAGCTAACTGAAAATTAGTAAGTCATTAAAAGCAAACGCCACGGTGCGACCTGCCAAAAGGCCAATAAGTGCACGAAAAGGTGTCCGAAACGAGGGGCGAGCGAACTTGGCTAAGAGCGACACACAGCAGCTGACAGACTGACGTTTAGGTAACTAATAGGCCTTATTTGCATGTTAATTGCTCTTGACTAAGTCAACAGCAGCAGCAGCAGCAGCAGTTGAAGCAAGTATTCTAATAAGGCCAACAAGAATAATGAGAGACGGGTGCTTGCTCAACAACAACAAGAACAGCAACAACAACAACAGCAAAAGTGAAGCGGTAAAGACATTTGCAAAGGCAACCAGAATGTTGCATGAACCCATCAGCAACCACTTGAGATGCGTGCGCGACGCTGCAAAGTAGGCAACACTCGTTAAAGCGGCGCCATTAAATTTGCAGGCGCTGCAGAGTATGCAACGCAGCCATTGCCAGCCGAAACCAAACGCCAGCCGCCATGTGGTCTAAACTTGTCCGTAATTATACGCAGATGCCTTTGAAGTGCCGGCCGAACAGCGGGTAGGCATCACGTCTGCCCTCGCCAGGTAACAACAGGTAGCCAAGTGCTGCAGTTTATTAAAGGTGTGAGGAGGTCTGAGAGAGATAATTTCAATGAATACTTAGTGTGAAATATTGGAGAATGTAATTTAAATAACTTAACCACAAAATTAGAAGAGCTAATTATTCATTTTGTGTGCAATATTGATATAGGTTAGATATAATATTGGGATACATAAAAAATTGACTGGAAGCAAAAAAAAAAATAAATAAATAAATAATAAT